TATGAAATCTTATCTATTTTCTCTTGAAAGTAATTTAACTTAGTTTTTCTCCCCAACTTAAACTGGAAGATCCAGATACCTAGGAGTAGAATAAAATGTCACAGAAATCCTAAATGAAGCTAATGTCAATTTTTTGGGTGATGAAGGATTCTTTCTCAGTATTTACATTTTCCTTTTAAGGAAGTGTTTTGGAGCAAGCAAAGAAACCTCTCTGTTGAACTTCATTTTAATCATGTATGGACTGATTCATAAATCCCCACCCTACTTAGAAGGCTCATCTAGATAACTGTTATCCAAATGATTTATGCTCATGAAATGCAAAGTTAGTTTAATTCGAAGTAAAACATAGTTTAGAAATAAACATTATAAAAGCCTTGGATTCACTATTATGGATCATTATTAATTTATTATATACTTATATATTTTCAACAAAAAGCATAAACGTTCAGTTTAATCTGGAGATTAATACAAAGTCAGTATCTACTTAAATTCTAATTCAAAAGTGACACCATTTAAAAATTGATAACTTAAATGTCCAACTAAAAAAGATGAATTAGTAAATTATTACACAAACATAGATGAGAGTACTCCACAGCCATTAAGAATAATCATGTTGTGGAAAAACACTGACATAAAAATGTTCAGGATTCGTTGTTAAGTGAATAGAATAATTTGCACTACAGTAGATGCATTATTAGCCCATTTTGTAAATATCATATGTCTTTAAGTACACATATATTTATAAAATGGCTAAACAAAATGCAGAAAGAAAATATTCCAGAAGGTTAACAATGGCACCTCTTTGTAGTGGGATTTCCAATAATAAAAATTTAATTCATGCTTTTTTGTGTCTCCCAAATTTTCTACGTTAGGGATGTGCTATTTTTATAACTAAGGGGAAGAGATTAAGAAAGAGACAAAGGAATTATTTACATTAAAGCTGTATTTTAATATAAATCACAAATTCTTAACTAGAGATATGGCTTAACCCGTACTAGTAAAGCCCCCACTTTTTTGTTTTGTTTTTAAATACAAAACCGCTTTACATGAACCAACCTGTATTCTTGCTTTCCACTATTCTGGGTAAGAATTAAAAATTAAAGTACCTGATTAAATGTGAACTCTGAAAAAAGATGGGAATTTCTGTCTTACTATTTGACCTCATAATTGTAGAAATTAAAATATTCCTAAAAAATAAATATAAGTCACATCCTTAGCAGCATAAGTCAAAAGGAATTCATAAAAAAATTTTTTATAAGTGATTTCTTTCTGTTGACTTCTAAAACTTAAAACAATAAGCAGAATTACATCTTTGTGAAATACACACCTAAAGCAGGTAGCAAAAATAGTCCAGTCGACACTAAAGAGGATGAGTTTAGATAATTTAAAACCTGCATAACCAAAAACATGGAGAAAAACAGTAATCTCCTATCCACCTAATTCCCAGAAGTTACACTAACAGAGCTATATAAATGACTAACAAATGGTTGTAAAGCAACCTATAAATAAAAATGCCATAATAATTAATCAGTAAGCAATAAATTGCTCTGACACTTTATTCTTTAAGTAATTCATACAACTCCATCTAGAATTTTAGACTTGGTGAAAGGGAAAATGTAGTCTTGAATAGTACAATGTCTGTAAGAAACTACACATTAAAAAAAAGTATGCATCTGCAAAGAACTGGAAGGAAATAGACACAAAGTGATTTGCTGTAATATGGAACTTCAATTTTTTACAATGTTGTTGTTTGCTTTCATAGTTTAAAATATTTGCAGCAAACATTTTAATTGACATAATACTAGTAGTAAAAACGGGTGGGGAGAGGGTATATTAAATATGTCCTTTGAGAAAAGTTAATAAGAAGCAATTTACTTTTAACACTAATACTCTCTGATATATTAGATGGTAGGTAACAGTTAACAGACAGAATTAAATTTCCCAATATTCCTAACAATCCTGAAATCTAACAGAGGCTGTGTTATAATTATCAAACTAAACATCAGATGGCTCTTTCCACTGGACTATTGTAAAAACAAAAAAAAAAGCAACTATCAATTAGTCCTATAAATGCTATAACAAGGCAATTTAATTCCTTACTTCCTTGCTCATTAAAAGCTAAGATTTGAGCTTTCTAAATTTGTTCTATCCTTTCTTAACGATTTAAAAGGTTGAGATATAAACTCCTCCTCCAATCCCCATGCCTGTAAAAATAAAAAGCTGGAAACATTCTCACCCTTATAAACCTTATATATATTTTTCTTCTGGAATCAATCATTTCCTACCTTGGGTTAAAATCATTACATACGTGCTCTTTTAACTACACTAGATTTCAAACCCAGAGAGCACCGTCAGTGATACTGCATCTTTCTATGTATATCACATATTGTAGTAAAGACTAAATAGTAAAGATTTAGTCTTGATTAATCCCCTGAACTTTCTGCACACTCCATTACCTGAAAAGAATTATTAGAAAGGTAGTGTTCTCTCGCAGGAGGAAACAGGAGGTGAGTGAAGGTGTGCACACTCCTTTGTCTGCTGTCAGGTAAGCACAAACCAGACCTAGAGGCCTTTCTATTCCTTTTTCCTTCCAAGGCGAGACTCCATCTACGTCAATCAGCATCTCCCAGCTAAGGACAGAGTGGGCCTTCAGAGGACCTGGAGAGGTTGATGTAATCTAGGGAGTTTCTAGTGGTCTGCAAGACCAGGTCAAAATCCAAAGAAAACCTTAGAATGTGGACTCTAAAGAGTCCTACAAAACCCAAGGAATCCAACTCTTTCAGCTGAATACAATCTACAACCAGATAAAACTCACAAAGGTATGACCTAATTGCAAACTGTAAATGCCCCCCAAGCTGACTGGACCCTCACAAGTGAAAAGATGAGTATAAGAAGTACACCATATGTTAAACTTTCTGACATACTCCAGGTTGTTTTCCTGTCCCGGGAGTAGTAACAGAGCCCATAGTAGAGGCAAACTGACAGAAAAGACAATTCATTTTCCAATATTAAAAAGTCTATGTTTGTAAACACACAGCAAAAGATCTACAAGATTAAACAGTGTTAACAGCAGTTCTCTCTGGAGAGGGATATGAAATAAAAGTTTAATTTTCAAAGGAGGTTTTCACTTATATGCATATTGTATTGTTTTCATCTTTCATGAGCATCAATTTACTCTGGCAATTTTTAAAAAATATTAAGTAAAATGCTGAAATGTGATTCTATTTTTTCCAAAAAGGGTTAATAGACCCACATGGAATTCAAATGAAAAATAAATGCCATTTTGCAGAAGCTTGGCTACTACAGACCTACAGTTCAAACAGAAATAATGCAATTATCCTATCCTACAAAATAAAAAGGAATACTGGTAACATAACAAAAATGCCCATAGCAACTGTCACCCACTACTCAACGTTCACTACTTTGATTATACAATATTAGCCATCAGAGGGAGTTTCAGTACCCTCCCCTCAAAATTATATCCACTCTAACAAAGCCCTTTTTCAATTTTAACCTAATTAAAAAGGTTACACTAGCAGAAAAAAAAATCTTAATACAATTTTTATAACAATCCATAAATCATAAGAAGTTTTTACTTTATTGCACCAAGAGAACACTGCTTCTCCATTTTATTTTAATTTTTCATTAGAACTATATTCACAAATTGACATTTCTTTGAGGTGCGGGTCTGATTTCCTTAAGAGAAAAAAGTTTCCCAGTCTGAAAAACAAGCTACCTGGACAATCAAGTCTATTATCATTGTAATGGGGTCCATATTCTCCACTTATCACCACTTTGTGGTTAGAAAAAGTAAAATTTTATACAACTATGACTCCTAAAAAAAGAGGAAGAGGGACACAAAACTACCCTCTGAAAACAGCATACTCCAGCCATAATGCCCGAAGTAAATAATGCCATTGTGCTTTAGCAAAGCAAAATACAACTAAGCATCTTTATGAGTTAGTCCGTGATGTCAGCATCTTAAAAATCAAAGTTGAAAGAGCCCAGCTTATCATAAACTTTCTTTCAATGTTAGTTCATTTTTCTAAAAAACATTAAGAGAAATCACACTGAAAATGTCCAAAATTATAAGTAATGGAACAGAGACAGGCAGGCAGACAAAACCCACACAGCAAATTGGGAGGGGAGGATTTTTGTTTAATCTAGTTTATGAGTCTGTAACATAGTCACAAAAAAATTGTGAATACAAAGACATATACAGTGTAAATCTCATTTCCCACCTCCCTTCTTCAGGCTACTACTTCTCCCTCTCTCCCACTGTTATTACTTCCCAGTATCCTCCCAGAGTATCTTTATAATTGAAGAGCAAACTCAAGTTCATATTCTTATTCCTCCCCCACATCTTAACACATAAAGTAGCACATTATTCACACTGTCCTACACCTTGGGTTTTTTTCCCCCCTCTCTATAACATATTTTGCAGATCTTTCCATGCCAGTGCACAAAAAGCTTCCTCAATCTTTTTCTCATAACTGATCATGACTAGTTCCACCATAACTTTCATTTGTCATCCTCTGGCTAACCTCTAATGACATTCTGTTCATTCAAATACCTAATACCTGAGTTAGTTTTCTTCCCCCAACAAGATTTTTTTTTTTTGAAAGATTTTATTTATTTATTTGACAGACAGAGATCACAAGTAGACAGAGAGGAAGGCAGAGAGAGAGGAGGAAGCAGGCTCCCTGCTGAGCAGAGAGCCCGATGCAGGACTCGATCCCAGGATCCTGGGATCATGACCTGAGCTGAAGGCAGAGGCTTTAACCTGCTGAGCCACCCAGGCGCCCTCCCCAACAAGATTTTAAAACAAACCAGATTTGAGGTGTCCCAGGAGATAACTTTCAAGAAAGCAACTCATTAGCTAAATTATGTCCATTTCAGAACGTTTGTTTTTCAAGCAGGTGAAGACACAAACATACCACAACTCTCAAATCACTAAAAATAAAGCGACAAATTAGAATGCAATCTTCACGTGAAATTACCTTTTTTTTGATTTGGGGGATCAGCATAATAGTCATATCAATAATGACTGTAAAACTTTCTTCTTGTGCTTTTCTTTCACTGTAAAGGGGAAAAAAAAATTAAGGCTAGTAAGCCTTGAAGTCCTAAGAGCATGGCATCCTAAGAGCAAGAGAACGACCACCTGACTCGATCTTCAATCCCCAGGTCAGAAGCCAAGACATTTATCTTTCAGGATCCTGCTGACTTATCAACAGGACGACTTCTACACCAACGAAACACTCTGAAGAATACAAGCTCTGCGGCGCTACGTGTTGGAAATTATACACCAGGACCCAGAGCGCCAGGACCAGATCCACAGACTCCAGCTTCGCGGGCGGAAAGGGATCTAGATCAGCCAGCCGCGGTGGTGACAGGGCGCGGGGAGGCGCGGGTGGCCAAAAGGAAGACCCCGCGCCGCGCCGCAAGCCCTCGAACCCGTGCAGTCTCCCGAGCTGGACGCGCGCAGTCGCGCGTTCCCCGGGAACCGAGCCCCGGAACCACGACCACTAACGGAACCAGCCCACGGGCGGAGGCCGCCGCTCGGACAGCGGACCGCGGCGCGCGGGCCGGCAGCCGGGAGGGCGGGGGTTCCCCGGAGGAGCTGGCCGCCCCGGCGCCCCATTGGGCGCCGCTCCAAACGTGCCCGAGTTGTGACAGGAATAAAGTGGGTCACAAGGCCTAGCGGGTCCCCAGCGAAAGCCCTCTCGGCACCGCGTCTCCGGCTTTCCCGGCCTCTGGAATGGCCCCAGCCCGGAGGCGCGCTCCGGCCACCGGCCCCACCGTGCACCCCAATCCCGCCCTTGCCCCGCAGGTAACCCCAGCAGCCCCGGAGGGCCCCTCAACCAGGGCGCGACTCCACCCCAACTCCCGGGAAAAGGCACACTAGGGCGACAGGCAAAACTTGGGCTTCAGCTCCCGCCTTCCCCTCCCTCGGCCGCCGCCCCCCCGGCCACACACACACACACACACCGCCCCCCGCTCCCTCCCCTTCTCCGCGCCCCTACCGTGTGGCTTGCGGCCGCTCCGGCTTCTTCCCTCCCCCACCCTGGAGTCTGGCTGCGGTGACTCGGAACCAATAACCCGGAGCGTCCAGGAGACACAGCGGCTTCCAGCACAAGCAGCACCTGGGGCTGTGAGTGGCGCCCCCCCCCCCACCAAAAAATTCACCGCTACTGCCACCCGCTCCTCCCCCTCCCTTCCCGTCCCCTCCTCCACCGGCACCGGGAGCACGCATGCGCCGCCGAGGCAAGCCTACCGGCGGACTTCAGGCCCCGGGCCCACCCGGTGGGGCGCTACTCACCGGGAGCGCGCACGCGTTGGCGGCCAGATTTCCTTCGCGCTCTCGCTCTCGGGGGTTTCCTTTTTAAGCCGGTAGCCGCAAGCCCAGTCTGTGATTGCGCTCCCTGCTGGCGCATGCGTCGTCAGTGACCCCCGCGGGCTCCGACTGCCGGCGCTCAGTATTTGCCCCTCCCCTCACTCTCCCTTTCCCGGCCGCAACCCGGTGCGCATGCGACTTGCCCCGTTAGGCAGCGCTGAGCCGCGGAGGGTATCCCGGGTGCCGAGGAGACTCCGGCTCCCTCGGGCCTTGCGTCTGCGCCGTCTGCGGAGGGAAATCGGGATCTCCCCGACGCCCTCTTCCCCGCTCTCATTACTGGAAAGCTGGGGAGGCGGGGCCTGCTCGGGTGGAGGGTACGGTCGGTCCGGGGAGCGTTGGCGTTAGGTCCGGGCGGCTTTGGTTTTCACCCATTGCAGGGAGGGAGGAGGAGGAGGGAGAGCTTCTTGCCAGATGAGGCACCCGGAGGCCCGAAAGGGGACCCTCTCTCTTTTGTAAAGCAAATCACTTGGCCAGCATGCCGGGGAAGATTTTCTGGGTGTTGGCAGACGGAAGGCTTTTTTCATTCTCCAGCGGCATCACTCGCGTTTCCTCTCTTGGGACTGGGAGAGGTTGTTTGCGAAGGTGGAGAGACATCCCGAGACGTCTTTTCCTTCTCCCTGAAAGGAGCGCGGCTCGGGTCGCTTCTTATTGGTGGGTGGGCCTGCGGAGGCCGGATATGCGCCCGGGGCTGCAGCGGGAGGTAAAAGGAGGTCAGGAGGTGTTCGTTTGGAGTTTTTCACCTGGCCTTAAAGGCCTGGCGACAGTTTAGTGGAAGATGGGGAATGAAGCAGTGGGATACACCAGGATCTGATATGCACGGCCTCCCTTGTTAGAAAAATGTGTGACTTCCTACTTAGGTTAGGGGAAATTACTTCCCTTGATGCATAAAACACACTTAGTCCACATGGGAAAGCACTTTTCAGTAGATGTAAATGATTGGAAAAGAAGCTTATACAGTCCCAACTCCTAGTCGCTTTTATGTTTTAATGAATGTCCTTTGGATTTAAAATAGAAGCCATCTTGTTTCAAAAAAATAACCATTTGGGCTATAAATTACTCCCTTGGAGGTAACATGCACCTCAGTAAGCATTTAAAATTCTTGCTGGGGACTCCTGGATGGCTCAGGTCATGATCCCAGCGTCCTAGGATCGAATCCCACATGGGGCTCCTTGCTCAGTAGGGAGCCTGCTTCTCCTGCCTTGTGTTCCCCCAGCTTGTGTGCACTCTTGACAAAATCTTTTTAAAATAAACAAAATTATTGCTGTATGCTCAGAGGAAAAAGAACATCAAAACTGAGGAACTTACCCTCTTCCTTCACCCGAGGATTTTTCTGTCAAGTGTGGAGAAAGGATTTATTAAGCTACTCCATTATATAGCAGAAGGGATTTTAGTAGACGTTTTTGTTCTTCATTCCCTATTCTGATAATTTCCTTTGGGAAACTATTCACTCAGCCCATATGGCTGCGGCAGGACTCCAGGGTGAAAGCATATTTGAGTTAATGCTCTGCTTTAGGCTGGTTTTACCAAGAAGGGTGCTCTATCTTTGACAATGGATTTAAATTTAGCAAAAGGGGGGCCTGAAGCCATCTTTTCACTCATGGGTTATTCTAAGGAGGAAGGTAACTTGGAAAAAAGCAGATTAAAAGATGGAGATTTGGCCTGGAAATGTGTTTGATGCCCTGAATCCAATGTGGACTAAATAACTGAAATTTCAGTTAAATTAGTTCTTTCATGCGTTTGTTTTATTGCTTAAACCAGTCACTTACTACTAAAAATTCCAAGAGATGCTGGTAGCACCAGAGGAGGCAAGGTTAATAATACAGATAAAGTAGGTTGTAGCCAGACCAGAGGGTTTGAATGCTTCCCCTGCAGCATGGATGTTTACATTCTATTCTGTTCTAAAGTGATCCCTCCTCAGTTCTACATCATCTCTAGACTTCATATCTTCAAAAATACCTTTGCCCCTTTTAATGGTTCCATTGTCCTCTTAGTCACTACTGTCAACTCATTCATCTTTGACTCCTTCCTTCCTCTCACTTTGTGTTTAATCATTTACCAAGACCTGTTGATAATCCTGTTTTTCTGCTCCTCTGCCACTGCATGAACATTTCCCACAGTTTGATTCACTTTATCTGTTTCTCCCATATTCTCTCCAAGAAGAAAACTTATCATGTTTTTAAAAACTTTTCCAACTTTCAGATTCTACTTTTCCCTAAAACCATCATTCTGCCTCATAGTTGCACAGATCCTAAATTTATGTCCCCACCCTAAACACAATTTATATATATGTATACAGATATATATATAATTTAAATATTCTGTTAATTCCTTCTGATATACATTGCTGTTACTTACACTCAGAATATCCAACACTTTCCAACTGATTCTCCTAGTTGATGTCTTGATAGAGACAGTATAGCTTAGTTGTTAAAGAGTGCAAAATTGGAAACTAAAGTGCCTGGATTGAAATCCCACCTCTTAATATTTGCATGACTTTGAGCAAGTTATTTCTCCGTTCTTCATTTTTCTCATCTGTAAAATGAGGAATAGCAAACCTATCTCATGGGATAATTGAGATATAAAAAATAGATGTAGTTGTGTACGTGTGTGTGTGTGTGTGTGTGTGTGTGTAAGTAATAGTACCTGGCACATAAGAGATCTCGTATAAGTGTTGGCTAGTATTTTTTTTTAAGTAGGCTCCACACCCAATGTGGGGCTCAATTTCATGACCCTGAAGAGTCACACCCTCAACCAACTCAGCAAGTCAGGTGCTCTTTAGTGTTGGCTGTTACTAATGATAATCCACTTTTGTGTAATTCTTAAGTCTCTTGCTCAAATTCTTCCCCTAGTTCCTGGGTCAGGTCAGTTACCAAATCCTGTTTGCCCTTTCATAGTATTTCTCTTATCCATCCTTTTGTTGGCATTACTAGTTTCACCACTATAGTTTAAATTGGAACATAGGAAATTCAAGATATGTATAATTGGTAATATACAGAAAGCTTGTGGTCTTTTTTTAAGATTTGTATTTATTTGACAATATTTCAAATTGAAATATTTCAAATTCCTAATCCTGGTCAGGATACCCTGTTTAATCTAGCCCTTGCTATCTCTCCAATCTCATTTCTCCCATTTTCTCCTTTTCCCATAACACTCCCACCTAGAAATTTCCTTCAGTTCCTTGCTAATCACCCTGTTCTCTGGCATTGGTACATGCCGTGCCCTTGCCTGAATCACCTTCCTACCTATTCTCATGGCTGGTTCCTCAGTCTTCATGTCTCAAAGTTCTAACTACCCTATTTTTAAGTAGGGGTGTCTCCTACCTCTCAGCTGCCCCGCCCTCCCCCACAGAGTACCCCCAGTTACTCTCTGTTGTTTTGCCCACTGTTTCTTCCATAATACTAAATTTAAGTTCCATGTATATTTGACATTTGTTTTCTCATTTATTAACTTACATCCCCGCCATCACAGGGGATATTAGTTAATAAAATAAATAAAAGTAAACTCCAAGAAGCAAGGACTATGTGTTTTGTCCACCACTGAATTTGCAGCATCTGTTTCAGTACCTGAGGTGAATGAATGAATACATGAAAGGTAAAACATGCTAGAAAGAAGATTTTTAGGATTGTCTTTGAATCTTAGATTATGAATGCAGGCAGATTATAATCCTATGAAACATTAGCCTTAATAATGTGTCTTGAAGTACAAAAGGGAGATAAACTGAAATCAAATAGCAAAATATGATAACTCTTAATAACCAGGAGTGCAGAGGAACAGTTAAAGAAGGCATACAAGGAGCACCTGGGTGGCTCAGTCATTAAGCTTTAAGCATCTTCTTTCTGCTCCGGTCATGATCTCAGAGTCTGGGATCAAGGCCTGCATAGCATCGGGCTCCTTGCTGGGCAGGAAGCCTGCTTCTCCTTCTTCCCCTGCTTGTGTTCCCCTCTCTCCATGTCTCTTTCTGTCAAATAAGTAAAATCTTTAAAAAAAAAAAAAAAAAAGCATACAGGATGTCTTTAACGGGTTTGATACTGAGTGCTCCCCAGTCACTTAAGGATCTCATTAAAACAAAAATTGCAATTCAGTTAGTCTGGGATGGGGCCTGAGATTCTGCGTTTCTAAGCAGCATCCGGGAATGCTGCAAATTCCAGGACTATACTTGGACAAACGAACACTGTAAAGTAGGGAAGGGAATTGCATGGTTGGCAGCAAGGAATAGAGAAAAATCCTAGGTTGGGGTATATGAAATATCCATTTTTTTATAGGCCCCAAACTTGTTGAATATTGGCAATTAAAAAAAAAAAACTTTTCAGTTTGTATCCCATTAAATAAAAATCATTCAATAAAATGGAAAACAAATACTAAATAATTTCTCCGCATTCTGACATTTATACCCTACTGAAATGAGAATGTGTCAATGAAAGAGCATATGGAAGTAACACTGACCCGCAGCGGCCCGTGTGAGGACTTGCTGGAGCAATGTGTGTGTTTAGGCATGTGCACACACACGCTTCATTTGAAAAAGACTGGCCTCACAGCCACTTAAAACATGCTAGAATTTTATGATTTTTACAAATGTTTAAGTCTTCATGAACTGTTCTTATGAATAAAAACTTACTGCCACCTGGTGGATTTAACAGTTGGAAGGGAAATCTGTATCATTTCATTCAGGTATCTTAAATACTGTACTCCCTCTGCTAATTTTAACTTAAGAAAACAAATATGTATTTACTTAAAAAATTTCACTTAGTGGGATTTTTTTCATTTGGTTTTAACTGGAGATAGGATAATGTTTGCATTTATATGCATTACATGGTATTAAAGTTACATTTTAACCTTATAATGTGGCTTTTCATTTCCACAACTTTCATCCTACTTAGAAAGATATCCACCCATTTGTTAAAGAGAATTTTAGGAGTTGGACCTGTATAGGTTATTATTTCTCTTACATGTGTGCATATTACTATTAAAAAAAAGACCATCTTGGGGCACCTGGGTGGCTCAGTCACTGGGCGTTTGCCTTCGGCTCAGGTCGTGGATCCAGCGTCCCGGGATCAAGTCCCACATTGGGCTCCCTGCTGGGTAGGGAGCCTGCTTCTCCCTCTT